AAAAAGTGTAATGTACTTTTCATCATAATCAGTTTCAGCCCAATGCCCACATAATAACTAATTATAAAATTTATGTGCTTCCAATTTAAACACACAAGAATTTTAGAGGGACAAGTTTTAAGTTCTTAAACTAATATAAGCAAGGCACACAGGGGATATTTAAAGATAAGTACTTGTTTAAAAAGTATTTGGTTCAGCTATTCTTTATATTAATATTCAAAGGTTTTGAAAACAATTATTAAGAGTATGCAAGTAATCCCAGATACACCCCGAACTCTAGATATATGGGTTTTACAACTTCTCAATAAAGTCTGCAACTCGTATATATATCTTTTTATGGTTTTAAAAACAAACTATAGTAAAAAAATAATTTATTTTTTCTGTTAAGAGGGTGTCAAAACGAACATGAAATTATAACAAATATCGTGTAAAATAATGTTATTTGTAATGATAACACGTTTTTAACATATTTTAAAAAGTTGACTAGAATTAAACTTAACTTCCACAACTTTTATGTATAAAAACAGTATCCATACAAAATACCCAAATGTTGATATTTCTAATGTTACATATACCCTAAACTTGTACAGAAAATAAGTGTTGGATTTGTTTGCTTGATATACCATGTCTTATATAACTAAATGAATTAATGATTTCAATTTGCTAGCAGTACTTTTCTAGCTATGAAATTTTTGTGATTATACATTTGTGGTTTGGTTATTCTCAAAGCTAATCTTACTTTATATTTCTCATTGATTTTACAACTTCATCACAATACTTAAATTCGGAAATATTCTGAAGGAATGAAAAAAAAGAAGTAAATAATGTCTTGTAACATGTTATTATATGTTGGTTCTTTTAAACATTTGGAAAGGAAAGTTACCTTTTTCTAGTACATATTTATTATATGCTCGTTCTTTGAAGTGTTTCACAAGTAAACAGGATTAGTTTTCCTGTTATGTATTTGTTGCATGTTGTTTTTTCGAATACTACAAAAGTTAATCAGGACATATAGATATTTTTAAAAGTTTGGTGGTTTAAGACATCACAAATGTAGGTCTAATGTCTTAATACAGCTTTTTGAAGAAGTAATAACATAAAGTCTAAGTTAGAAATCACATTTTAAACAGCAAGGTATAAAAAATAATTTTAATGAAAGATGTATGTGCAAGTTGATTTCTTAATGTCACACCTTTCTCATTACTATGCAATTATTAAAAGCTGTTATATAATTGAAAAATTGTGTTAACGTGTTTTGTACAATAGCTAATCATATTTTGCTTATACATTTTTATTTTAACAGAACCTGTGTTACAGAGTTCTCATTGGACAAGCAGTTTACATAACTCAATAAATGTTCTATGCGAAAGTTCTCATTGGACAAGCAGTTTACATAACTCAATAAATGTTCTATGCGAAAGTTCTCATTGGACAAGCAGTTTACATAACTCAATAAATGTTCT